AAGGGACAGCAAAAGGCATTAATTTGTGTGCCCCCTTCAGCCATCCAATCAGTGTTCCTGAATTACAGCATATTTTGGGTGCCCAAGTTTTGTCTTTCTTTCCCACCTTATAGTCAAAATAATGATAGCATGGGGCATTTTTTATGTTTCTATAAAAAAGTGGTATTTTTTTAAAAACTGTGGTAGTAGAAGAAGATTTTGACTTCAGATTCATATTCAGCACATTAAAATACATTAAAAAAAATTACATTCTCTTTCATGGGAGGATTTTGATGCAGAACAGTATAATTAGTTGATTAGTGCAACAGGCCAAGACTGATGTCATTACAGTTATTATAAATTTTTATTAACAACTTGAACAAATCAAGATTTAATTTTAGTGGAAAATTTGATCTAGATAAAATATAAATATTTTCAATTAGACACTGATTAACTTCGTAAAATTTCTTCATAAATATTTATATTTACAAATACAGGTAAATCATACTTATTTAATACATTCATATTCAAAAGATAAACTTAACATTAATTTGGTTTATATCTTAGGAATCACTAATCAGAACAGTGTAAAACTTAACATATAAGCAGAACATTTTATTTTTTATGCAACAGATCAATTGAAAAGCAAACATTTATTCTACATTACATCAAACCAAACATAACAAGAAAAAGTACTAAGCCTTGTCATAAATCTTTTTTGCATAGAAAATGGTTAATGTGGCATCTGCTTGCTTCATGCTCATAATGTTGTTTATATGCTCTGTCAAGAGCAAAATCCATTCTGTAACAAGAGTGTCATGAAACTCTTGGTATGTTCTTGGAAGAAGCTGACAGGATGCAACTTGTTTCCCTAAAGCATCCCAGGGCATCCCATACTTGTTCTAAGGAAATTAGGTATAGAGACTTGTTTGGCCATTCCACATGAGATATGGACCGTTTATTTTGAAAGTGGTGTAAGTCCATTTTTTCTTTTTTCGAGATATTTAAACATTTGCATTTTAGTTGATTCAAAAATATAAACAAAGTGTACTAAGTTTGACAATGTTTCTATGACTTTAGAAATATGTAAGTTGATTGCATAAAGACTTCTATGTGAATTTATCCAAACTAATATATTCTTTCTGGGCCATAAATGGACTTACACCACTTTCATAATTACTAAACTGTAAAATTCATTAAATTTCTATTATGTAAAACTCAATGTCACTTGAAACACATTGCGTTTTATTCTGATTTTGTTCATATATAATAACAAGAAATAAAATAGTATTGTTTATTCTGAACATTAAAAATATTTACTTATTGTTAAACTATTTTATGATAAATTTATCATTATTATGAGCTTACCATTAGACACTGCTTTTCATTTAGATTCATTACATGGATTTTTTTCTAGTC